CAAAAGAAGTAAATTGTTTATTTCATGCAAATAGTACCAGATTTTGTGAAATTTCTAAACCCAGAAATCTATATTAGGTCATGTCTTTATGACATTTTCATACAATGATAAAAGTTGGGGGGAGGTTCAGGCTCCCAAAAATGTCTCAATTGGAAGAGTTATACATTTTGTAATTTTCCACAGGATTTAAGCCTGCAGAAAAGACACACAGAGGTTAATTTTAACAAAACAAGTTAAGAAAAAGATTTGGCCTGTTCCTTATGACCCCAATTCAACAAACCAAAAATGTGTTTACAAGTCTATGTTGAGTCCCACTGACTTCAGTGCAAGTCGAATATACATTTTTGTTGCATCAAGGCTTATAACTATGTTAATCTTTGCTACAGAGCAGTGGTACTCAACCTTTTGGCCCCATGAGCCAGATGAGTGTTACAGGGATGGTCCATAGGTCAGACCAAGTCCTGAATGCCAGGATTGGGCCGGCGGGTTCAGCACTGCCACCTCCATGCCCCGTGCACTGGGATTGGGTGCCAGGGGCCTGATGTTGCCTCTTCCTGTTCCCTTGCACTAGGATTGAGACCTGAGGGCCTAGCGCTGCCCCTTCCCAGCCCCCCACATTGGAACTGGGCCCTGGTAACTGTCACAACCCAGTTAATCAGTGCCCATGCCACTAGCAAGAGATACTATTCACACAGTAGTCAACTAAGGGTTAAAAGAAATCCTTGCCAGAAACTCCTGAAACAAAATCCTGGCGGAGAGCTGTATATAATTTATGCCCACGTCACAAACAAGAAACGAAACTTAAGACTGGTCAGGGTGAAAGGGGATAGCCCTGCCATAAATCCCTGCAATTGGTCAAGAAACAAGCGTAAGCCCCTCATCATAACCTCATACATAGCAGGCAGAAAACCCAACCCACTTCCTTGTAACCTGATAGCAACCTGAGAGCACAAAGAACTGCTGCTTGCCAGAAAATTAAAGATTCCACATAACGGTTCATCATTGGGTATCTCCGTCAGACACCTCTGTCTATAAATAGTTTAGCAGTTTCCGCCCAAGGCGGAGAACCCCGGAGAAATCTCTGAGGAGAGACCTAAGTCCATCACTAGAGTAACTTGGCAGTCTGATCAGCTGTCAATGACTCCCCATCATCGTAAATCTTGGCGTACCAAAGCCCTGCAGGCACGATAGCACGTTTTCGGCACCACGTCCGTCATTGCTTGGCTGTAACCCGTACGTTGGACTATAATCGATGCAACTGTAACGGAACAAAGGCTCAGCCTGCGTCGCACGTCACTATCTGGGCGACGTAAGTAAACAATCTCCTGCAACCAACACGCGTCTGTGCCTGGTTAATTCCACTCCATCCATTAATTACCCGTCTGTCAGGTGAAAGTTTTACTGCTCCGGTGGGGGGGGTCAGAAAGCAGCTGCCGGCCGGCTGCTCTGATCTCCGACAGTAACCAGTGCTGTTCTTGTGTGCTGAGATTGGGCCCTGGGACCAGGCACCACCCTTGCCTGGCCCTGCACACTGGGATAGTGCACCTGATCCAGTGCACAGAACTGGAGGCTCCCCTTGGTTCTGAAAATTTAGCAGCAGGGAACTGGTGCCACCTGTTTCCTGCCACCATATATCTGGACCCACAAGGGACCCCGCAGGCCAGAAGAGACTGCACCACAGCCAGATTTGGTCCATGGACTGGGGGTTGAGCACTCCTGCTATAGAGGGATGACAGTTCCAGGCCAACTTTTGATTCTATCTAAAATAACTTCTACACTTTGTTGTCACCTCCCTAGCTTCACTACCCAGACAGGCTCCGTAACCTCTGCAATCCTGCTTCCCTAAATACAGCTTCATGAGGATCTGACACCAGCTACCTCTGATGCACTACACTTCAGCACAACAGTTTTAGTACAGTGGACAGATGCATTTTTCTGGGATTGGCCTCACTCTAGCAAATTTCACTTCTTGGGGTCCTTCTTTTTTACATTTAAATGGTGCAAATATGAACCACTGGTGGCTTAATAGTCAAACTGCACTATGGTTTCAATGTAGTGGCATGCACAACTAATTTCATTTGAGGTGCCTGATACTAACTAGTAAATTGTCTTAATAAGTAACATAAAATCCAGAACCCACTGCTCAATCCCAATTAGCTAAGCCAGGCACTTGGCTGATAGACAACTGGCTGAGACTCTGCCCTAACCTAGATGTGCAGCTTCTTATGTGCTCCTTCATAGAATCTTATATACAGCATCCCTACTTCCAAGGTAGGGATGCAAAATCTATCTGCAAAAGAAGGAAGAAAGGTTAATGAAACAGGAATCCACATATCATACTGGGCCAAAATCTGCAATTATAACATTGAAAGTCCAGAGTACATTCAGAGTTCAAATGTTTACTCATGTGTGTGAATAACGGAGGGAAAAAAACTGACCCTTCCTGTACATGTTGAGATGTGTGGGAGGGAAATATCAGTGAACGAGCAGGGGAACATTCACTGAACAATGAAGAAAAATATAATTTATTTAAAATGCAATATTTAAAAATAACGTGTTTTAAGCATGGCTACTAAAATATAGTTAAAATAATAAATACATTTCTATTGAAATGATTATAGTTATTTTTTAACTTAGGTAGACAATGAGGCTACAATACAACTAGTTTCCTTTTCATTTCTGTTTTCATAAATGACTTAAAACTTCGTATACTTTTTTTTTTTTTTTTCATTTTCTTGATATTGACTGAAACAGGTACTACATAGCAACAACAGCACGTGACCATATAAATAAAGATGTATACTTAACACATGGACCTAAAGAACATGAGTGTCACAGGAGCCTGAGGTTCTCTGTTCCTTTAAGAGGGAAAGTAGCCCAGCTATGGAGCTCTGCAGGCTAGGCAGAGGGCAGCAGCTGCCAGTTGCCAGGGCAACAGGGCTACTGACGCAATTTGCTGGGCTGGCTGCTGTCTGCTGACAGGATATAGGCAGGGCCCTTGCAGCATATAAGCCCAAGGCTGGGGCTATCAGAGGAGTCTCTCTCTGGCTGCCACAGAGGAAGGAGCTCCTGTCCAGGGGAGCCACCCAGGCATGCTGGGCTGACTGTTTGCTGCCTGTAGGAATGCTAAGGCTTGGAGAGTTCACAAGGAGACTATGCTGGGAGGTACACTGGCACAAGGGGAGAAAGAAGGCTTGCCCTCTTAGAGGAACAGAGGGCTGCTTTCTATGTTGTGGTTTACGTTACAGCCCAGGGGCTTATGATTTATGTTACTGTTTTACTGGTGGTTTGGGATAAGGCTGAAAGGGGAGGTAAGGCGGTCTCATTAGTGCCCAGGGGGCATATGATTGCCTTGAGCCCTGCTGGGGGCAGGCTCAAACAGAGGGGCCAGGGGACCAGGAGACAGGGACCTGGTCTAGAAGGGACAAAGTCCAGGTCTGATTCAGTGGGCCTAGGCTAGAAGGCATAATGAGATTAAAGGGGGAGACGCCAAGGAGGCTGAAGCCCCAACAGAGAGAATGACATACCGGTAACACCCATGAGGCATGGTAAAGGGAAGGATTTGGAGCCACACAATTACATCACAAGGCTTTGGGTGACTGGACCACAGCTGACTACATAGGTCCAGCCAGGGGCCTGCTACCAGTGAGGACTACTAGGGTGCTGGGGACCCTAGTGGAGTCCCCTAGTGGGGACCCTTTGTGGGCTACACAAAGGTCTATGGGCAGCCTCCTTATTAATTTATATTTCCATCAAGGCATGGCAGACAAGACAGGAGAGCACACTTGGGGCAGAGCAGGGCATGGTCACAGAGCCACCAGGGGGTGCCACAGTCACCCCTGGGACCCCAACACATTACGAGTTTGCTTCTCTAACCCTTAGAACAGAGCTTTCCAAACTTTTCATGTTGGTGACACACTTTTTAGACATGCATCATTTCGCGACACAGTAATTTAGTTCTGGGGGAGGGGCCAAGGGAAGCAGACGCGAGTAAGGGAGCTCCGCGGTGCCCTTCCGCAAAATTTTCTGCATTTCGCGCGACACACCTACACACTGCCGCCAACACACTAATGTGTCGCGGCACACAGTTTGGAAAGCTCTGCCTTAGAATTTTAAAATTCTCTCTCATATCAGATGTGAGAGGATATGACATGTGGTACTGGGTGAAGACTTTGGTAGACTTGGCTTGCTACTGGAAATCCTTTCTGTTTTGGTCTTAATTTTTTACGTCTATCTAAGCTTTTCTGGCTCAAAGCAATATGTGCTCACATTGACATATTTTGGACCTGTGTTTTAAGTGCCTCTTTTTTGGTACTGCAAGTGAATATAACTTGCTACTAACAATAACATTTTGTACAGGACTCCACAAAACAACCAAACTTTTAAATGACTTCTTTGTTCTGAAGTGTTTTAAATCACAAAGGTCATAAAGTACACCTATTATTTGAACAGTTCTGGGAGGAAACTTCTACTTTCACAGAGCTCTTGAAAACCTCCCTATGATGGTCTATCTTTGGGTATGTATAGGCACAAATATTTTCTTTTGCTTTAATTGGGTAGGATTTATTCTTTGGTACCATCTTTTGGAATGCCCTAAACAACTTCTACATTGTTAGATCAAATAACTTCACCCGTTTCATAAAATGATTTGCATTTGGTCAACTAAACTCTGATTATCCTACCTATCCAATTACACTACCTATCTGATTAATTTGATAACTATGAATATTTGTAAAATACCTAAGAAGAATTTTGTTTCAGAGACTTCACTAGACTTAAATCATCAGGTTTCATAAACTTCTAAGTTTGTAACCAATATCATCTGAATACTAAATATATGTAATATGTTGGTTGCCACCGTATTATTCATTAGCCAGATTCATTTGCTATTACAGCTAGTTTCAGTATCTATGTTTAGAATATCGAATTTAATACCACACAGTATAAAAAAAGTGAGACACAGAAAATGAATTTTTAACAAATCAAAATCAGACACAAACCTTGTAGGCAGAGTACAGCAACCATCAGCAGTCAGCCTGACTTGGGTTTCATAGCTATCCAGGGGGCAAACGACTTGCTGAACAGGAGGGCATTCCACTGTGCTGCAATCCACGCTGAAAACTGAAGGAGCAGGGGGAAAAAGAAGCAAATGAGAACTCTAATTGTTTCTTTTCCTGATGCTTTCTAAAACATAAAGAGCTAACATTCACTCTTTTTATCTGGGCCAGAAAAGGTTCTTCATAAATAGTACTACAAAACAATTCTAATATCATAGGAAATTAGAGCTGGAAACTACCACATGAGGTCAGGTAGTCCAGCTCCCTGCTCAAAGCAGAAACAACCCTGACTTACCACCCCAGCCACACATCTAATTTGGTTTTGAGAATTTGCAGATTTGGCAATTCTATAGTTTCTCTAGGTATCTGGTCTGATCCTCTGAGTAAAAAAAAGTTCTTCCAAATCTCCAACCTAAAATTCCTCTGCTACAGCTTCAGGCCACTGTTCCTAGTCCTGCCCCTTATGGCCACAGACAATATTCTTT